AGGCAGGCAGATCTCCGTGAGTGCAAAGCCAGCCTGGTCTACAAGAGCTAGTTCCAGGACAGGCTCCAAAGCTATACAGAGAAATCCTGTCTTGAAAAAAAAAAGTGTTCTTTTAAAATATATTTTAAATTATTTCTTGACATGTTTCATATATATATACAATACATCTTGATCATATCCAACCTTTCCTCCCACTGCCTCCAACACATCCCCATCCCATCTTCATGTCCTTCAGAAAAATGATTCACTGAGTCTGATTAGTGCTGCCTGTCTGTGCATGGGTGTGGAGTCATCTGCTAGAGCAAGGCTGCCCCTTCCCCACAGCTGTCACCTAGCTCCTCAGCCGGGGTGAAGCCTCATGAACTTTACCACACTCCTGCTTCCATGTTTGGATCTCGAATGGCTTGTTCTTGTATAAATCTTGTGCAAGGAGCGGTAGCCGCTGTGAGCTCATGAGTGCAATTGTCATGTCATGTCCAGAAGAGAGCATCTCACAGCACTTCTCCCCATCCCCCAGTTCTTATACCCCCCCCTTTTCTGAGATAGGATCTCACATAGCCTAAGTTGACCTTGAACTTGCCTTGTAGTCAAGGCAACTGGCCTTAAACTCTCTGTACTTTGCCTGTGTTGTAATTACAGGGATGCATCACCACGCTTGAATGTGGTGGGAGAAATAACCCTTGAAGAAGTGAGATGAGATGTAAGAGGTGGGGAGAATGGGCGCTAGTTGGACAGGATACAGGAGACAGTAGGTAAACAGGACTCAGGAGTGTACTAGGTAAACAGCACATGAAAGGGCCCTGTGGTTGCCAGGAACACAGCAAGTCCAGTCCCTAAAACAAAGCTAATGTGTTTGAAGTAAGGTGGAATGTGATAAGGAATAAGACTAGGAACAGAACTGAGAGTCTGAGATCTAGGATTACCCCGTAGATCATAGTGAAGAGAAGGTCTTTAGAGTTCAGTGGTTTTGCCCAACAGTAGTATGCTGAACCACTAGAGAGCATTTGGGATTCTTGTGGTACAGGCATTTAGAGGCAGAGGGATGCTCCAGGCTTGAGTCCGTAGATGACTATAGATGACTCCTTCTTCTTCCTCAGGTGAGTGGGATTGGCCCTTATTGACACCCAGGGCTCTGGCTGCAGGCATCTCCATGGCTTTGGCAGCCTCCACCAGTTCCTTGGGTTGCTATGCCCTGTGTGGCCAGCTGTTGCATTTGTCTCCTCCACCACCACACGCCTGCAGTCGAGGGCTGAGCCTGGAGGGGCTGGGCAGTGTGCTGGCAGGACTGCTGGGGAGCCCCCTGGGCACTTCATCCAGCTTCCCTAACGTAGGCACAGTGAGTCTTTTCCAGGTACGTGGATCTGAGACAGGACTAAGGGGACTGGAGGTACAAGGGCAGGAGCTCATACTGATAGACTGTCAGCCGGGCGAGCTCTCAGTCAGGCAGTTCACTGAGGGAGGTGCCTAGAAGTACAACATGCTATGCATGTAGAGAAATAGGAAATCGGTGTGTCAGGTGAATTGGGAACTCTGCCAAGGCTCATTACAGTTGAAGAATGAGTCAGAGAAAGCCCTGCTCTCTTGGGGACTTCATAAAAAGGAAGTATATAGCATAGTTTGAGGGTAGTAAACACTGTCCTGAAAGCAGTGGTGTATGGACTGAGCAAAGGTGGTACCTTTGGGTAGATGCTTAGGAGGGTCACATTTAAGCTGGGATATGAAGGCTGAAATGAAGTGGGCCAAGCAAAGACCAGGTACAGTCCAAGGAGTCGGCTGTGTTCTCTATGTCTCTTCTTCATGCAGACTGGTTCTCGGCAAGTAGCCCACCTGGTGGGGCTATTCTGCGTGGGTCTTGGGCTCTCCCCAAGGCTGGCTCAGTTATTCATCAACATCCCACTGCCCGTGCTTGGTAAGTGAATAGATGTGAAGAGAGGTATTAGAATACTGTTTGGCCCAACCAGCTGGCTAAGCTGTGCCCTTTCTTTCTAAATAGCTTCTCTGAATGGATATGGACAAAAGCTCTTGTTTTCTCAGCCCAACTGAGTTTCTTGATGAATCACAAACAAGCCTAGTGGTTATTTTCCCCCCATTACAACCTGCCTGCCCTATAAACCCTGAGCTTTGCCCTCTTCCTACCACTGTGTTTTCTTCTGTATGAGGCAGGTGGGGTACTGGGAGTGACCCAGGCTGTAGTTCTGTCTGCTGGCTTCTCCAGCTTCCACCTGGCTGACATTGACTCTGGGCGAAATGTCTTCATTGTGGGCTTCTCCATCTTTATGGCCTTGCTTCTGCCAAGGTGGCTCTGGGAAGCCCCAGAGTTCAACACAGGTAGGTGGGGTGGAGAAGAAAAAAGGAGTGGGATTGAGGCTTTAGATCAGTGGTTCTCAACCTGTAGGTCATGACTCCTTTGGGGGTCAAATGACCCCCAATGACCATAGTGGTTGCCTAAGACCATCAGAAAGCACAGATATTTGCCGGGTGGTGGTGGCACTTGCCTTTAATCCCAGCACCTGGGAAGCAGAGGCAGGCAGATTTCTGTGAGTTTGAGGCCAGCCTGGTCTACAAGAGCTAGTTCCAGGACAGGCTCCAAAGCCACAGAGAAACCCTGTTTTGAAAAACCAAAAAAAA